GGAGGGGTTTGGGAATTGGCAATTTGGAGGGATATGTTGTGTATTTTTATACATATATGCTTCTAAACTGTTGTATTCTGAGCACATTTGCAAAAATAGTGATTATGTGTGAGTGAGGTGCAAGTGTTGAATGATGATGAAAGTATTTTCTTTTTGGGGATTTTCTTTCTTTTTTGGGTCACCCTGCCTCAGTGGGAGACGGCTGACTTGTTGAAAAAAAAAAAAAAAATTTGAACCACGATGCCAGGACCAAGAGAGGAATGATCATTGGTTTTTACCTTAGAGGAAACAGGATTTCTAGCTCTACCTTTCATTCATCTAATGCTCACCCATCTCTAGTTTCCTTCCTGCTATACTAATGACCTATGTAGGTGCCAATTTGCTATTTTTATTTAACCCTTTCAGAGTCGCCAGGCCCTCTCCCAGACTTGTTCTCAGGGTCGACAAATTTTCAAACAAAAAAACAAATTATTTTTTCACATGAAATTTAGAGAATCTTTTCCCGATCATAATGACACCAAAAGTATGAAATTTGATGGAAAACTTACGGAATTATGCTCTCGCGAATTTAGCGGTCTCGACAATGTTTACGCATCGGCGATTTTGCCGACTTTGAGCCCTATTTTTGGCCAATTACAGTGTGCTAGTCAACAAAAATCATAACTATTTCGCTAGAACTCCATTTTTTCTATCGAATGAGTACAAGAAACCACCCATTTACCAATTTCAACTATCCAATTTCCAAATAGGGTCCAGAATAAACAAGAAAGACATTCCTGGCACTAAAATAACATTTCCTTTCATTAGTCACGTCCCCACGCCCCTCTTACATTCTTTTGCTTTCCACTTTGAATTTTTATTCTCACAAAAAATAGAAGATTTACTGTTATGCAGGCTACTGCATTAGTGTAGAAATGGTATAAATAATATCAGCGCACTTGTGAAAGAATATTAGACTCCCAGTTGACGTGTATTGGATGCGTAGCATGATTTGTTTATTTTTGAACTTTGGCAAAAATTGAAGATTTCTGCTACTTTGAGCTCAATTTTAAGGTACTTTTCATTGTAAAACCAATCAAAATCGTCTCAATTTCTGTAATGTCTTCCATTCTATAAAATGAGGCCAAGAAAATTAGAATACCATCATAAATACAGTGGACCCTCGCATACCGTTGGCATCACATAACGTTAAATCCGCATACCGATACATTTTATCACTAAAATTTTGCCTCGCATACAGCTAAAAAACTCGCTCAACGCTATTCATCCGAGACGCTTCTAATGTGCGGCCTGAGCCAGCTTCACATGTTCCGCCGGTGGCATTGTTTACAAGCCAGCCTCCGCGGTAACATCCAAGCATACAATCGGAACATTTTGTATTATTACAGCGTTTTTGGTGATTTCATCTGCAAAATAAGTGACCATGGGCCCCAAGAAAGCCTCTAGTGCTAACCCAGTGGTAAAAAGGGTGAGAAATACTATCATACCACAGTCAGCTGCTGCTGCACCACGGTCAGCTGTTGCTTGACCAGTCAGCTGTTGCTGGATCAGTCAGCTGCTGTTGCACCTCGATCAGCTGTTGCTGGATCAGTCAGCTGCTTCTGCACCACGATCAGCTGTTGTTGGACCAGTCAGCTGTTGCTGAATCAGTCAGCTGCTGCTGCACCACGATCAGCTGTTGCTGGACCAGCCAGCTGTTGCTGGATCAGTCAGCTGCTGCTGGATCAGTTAGCTGCTGCTGCACCACGATCAGCTGTTGCTGGATCAGTCAGCTGTTGCTGGATCAAGTCAGCTGTTGCTGGACCAGTCAGCTGTTGCTGGATCAGTCAACTGTTGCTGGACCAGTCAGCTGTTGCTGGATCAGTCAGCTGTTGCTGGATCAGTCAGCTGTTGCTGGATCAGTCAGCTGTTGCTGGATCAGTCAGCTGTTGCTGGACCAGTCAGCTGTTGCTGGATCAGTCAGCTGTTGCTGGATCAGTCAGCTGTTGCTGGACCAGTCAGCTGTTGCTGGACCAGTCAGCTGTTGCTGGATCAGTCAGCTGTTGCTGGACCAGTCAGCTGTTGCTGGATCAGTCAGCTGTTGCTGGATCAGTCAGCTGTTGCTGGACCAGTCATCTGTTGCTGGATCAGTCAGCTGTTGCTGGATCAGTCAGCTGTTGCTGGATCAGTCACCTGTTGCTGGATCAGTCAGCTGTTGCTGGACCAGTCAGCTGTTGCTGGATCAGTCAGCTGCTGCTGCACCACGGTCAGCTGCTGTTGCACCATCAGCTGTTTCTGAACATGACTCGTCCCGAACCTGTCCCGAACCTGTCCGTCCAGCCTGAGCGCCTGCCTTGCCGTCATTGTTTACAAGCCAGGGTGGCCAGTTGCATGCATACATTCGATACATTTTGTATTATTCCATTATTTATAGTGCTTGTAACTGCTAAATAAGCCACCATGGGCCCAAAGAAAGCTTCTAGTGCCAACCCTGTGGTAAAAAGGGTGATAAATACTATCGTACCACAGTCAGCTGCTGCTGCACCACGGTCAGCTGATAAATTGGACCAGTCAGCTGCTGTTGTTGCACCACAGCTGCTGCTGCACCACAGCTGCACCATGGTCAGCTGTTGCTGCACCACAGCTGCTGCTGCACCATGGTCAGCTGCACCACAGCTGTTGTTGTTGCTGCACCACCATCAGCTGTATTACTCGAAGATGTGGAGAGAGTGTTGTTGGTGTGGCTTAACGTGAAACAATTACCGAGAAACGATTAACCCCGGAGGGTTAGCCACCCAGGATAACCCAAGAAAGTCAGTGCATCATCGAGGACTCTCTAACTTATTTCCATTGGGGTCCTTAATCTTGTCTCCCAGGATGCAACCCACACCAGTCGACTAACACCCAGGTGAACAGGGAAAAACGCCTGGAACTAGTGCTCATATTGGTGAATTTAACCCTTTGAGGGTCCGTCCCGTAGATCTACGGCTTTACGTTCAGGGTCCAAACCGTAGATCTACGTCATGAGCTCAGCTCACTCTGATAAACTGTGAGTGGTACATTTGGGCCTAGATATGAGAGAATACATCTATGTGGTATGTGTGCACCACATAAAACAGATCCTGCAGCACGCTGTGCATAATGAGAGAAAAAAACTGAAATCATGATTTTTCGATTAAAACAGCGACTTTGCAGTGTTTTTTCGTATGTTTTTTTAGTTCTATTTGTGATTTCTTGGTCTCATTTGATAGAATGGAAGACATATTACAGAAATAGAGATGATTTTGATTGGTTTTCGCACTGGAAATGGCTTGAAACTAAGCTCAAAGTAGCAGAAATGTTAAATTTTTGCCGATATTCAAGAGTAAATAAACGACCTCACACGTCTAATACACGCCAGCTGGTGGGTCTAATATGCATTCACAAATATGGTGATGATATTTATACAATTATTACAGTATTGCATAACAGTAAATCTTCTATTTTTTGGTGTGAATAAAAATTCAATATGTGAATAAAAAATCAAAATGAAATTTATTTGTAAAGCCTCAAAACGTAACTAATGAACAGAGGAAATGTTAGTTTAGTTTCAGGAATACCTACATTGTTTATTCTGGACCCTATTTTGAAATTGGAATATTTTGAACTTTGTGTTAAATTGGCCAAATTAACAATTTCCGATCACTTTAATTTGTAGTTGAAACAGTTGACTTGGCGATTTCTTGTGTTCAATCGATAGAATAGAAGTAATACTACTGAAATAGCTAAGAATTTGGTTGACTGGAATAATGTAATTGGCCTAAAATGGGAGTCAAAGTCGGCAAAATCGCCGATTCGTAAATATCGCTGACACATCAAAATTCGCGAGAGCATAATTTCGTCAATTTTCCATCAAATTTCGTACTTTTTGTTTTATTACCTTCACAAAAAGATTCTCTACCATTTCATAAGAAAAAATAACAAATTTTTTTTTTTAAATTCTTGGACACTGGGGCACCACTTCAGATTTGGGCCTTGGACCCTGAAGGGGTTAAAGCCAGCAAAGGTTGGTTTGAGAGATTTAAGAATTGTAGTGGCATACAGTGTGATAAGGCATGTTCTGGAAGAAAATGCCAAACAGGACCTACAGTACTCAGGAGGAAAAGGCACTCCCAGGACACAGTGTCTCATCAGTCATTGCTGCATCTTCAATAAAGGTAAGTGTCATTTATTCTTCATTTAGTAGAGTAGTACATGCACAATATATATTGTGCATGTACTACTCTACTATTGTGCATGTATCCTTCTCTTTGTGTGTAGGAAAATGTATATTTCATGTGGTAAAATTTTTTTTCATACTTTTGGGTGTCTTGCACGGATTAATTTGATTTCCATTATTTCTTGTGGGGAAAATTCATTCGCTTAACGATAATTTCGCATAACAATGAGCTCTCATGAACGGATTAATATCGTTATGTGGGGGTCCACTGTACCATACGAAAATACAGTGTAAAGTCACTGTTTTAAACCAAAAACACCGTCAAAATTTTTTTCTCATTACGTACTGTGTGCTGCAGGATTTTTTTTATACTGCGCACACTGACCACATAGACCCATTCTTTCATATGTAGGCCTACCACTAGATTTGAGGGCGCTAGAATTTAGGCATACTAGTACGTCAAAAACCCTGGTGCCTAAGCCGTACTAGTATGTCAGAAACCCTGAACGAGTTACACATGCCAAAGGATAGCTCTATAAATATAAAAATAATAGACAAAGAAAACATAAATGAGAAGATGAAAGCTAGAGAACCAACAACAAATGAAGGAGCAGTGCTGGGTCAAGGAATACAATATTTATTGCTGCTATATTTTCATAAGTCTCTACTACATATCTAACATAACACAAACACTACTGAAGGTAATTAAACTGGATGGGGTATACTGTGGATAATTAATCAGGATGGGATATATATATGATATATATACACTACTAAAAGTATTCAACTGTGATAACTTACAGGATGGGGTATATATACTGACCTCAGATATACCGGAGAGAAACCAGCACGTTTCCAGAATGAGAGTAGTTGTTGAGTGGCACCGTAAGACACACCCAAGTAATGGAGAGCCTCAGGTGATCGCTCAGACAACGACTGAAGCAGGGACAAGGGCTGGGTATTGGGTCCAAGCTTCTCTTCTAACAACCCAACCTATTAGCAAACTATAAATAATCTTACTCTCCTTCATGTATGATTAAAAGTGAATTTATTACTATAAACAAAACAAAATTTTCAGCCATCAGAGTAATCTGGCTCATGCATAATACTCTCCTGCAATAACTGACATCGTGCACAATAATAACACCATTAATGATTCAGTAAAATACCCTGGCTTCACTGCTCATGATTTATTGCTGGCTTTTCCACATGCTGTTCAAGCATGAATTTATTAGAACTTATACTGTTAGGATGGCTTGTACATTTCCCTCAATGCTCATCCAAGTGTCAATGTTTTGAGTAAAGCATCATCTGCTGGCCAATATGCATGAAAAAAAAAAAAAACCATACCACGGGTGGGGACTGAACTCATGGCGAGTGAATCATAAAACTCCAGGCCAGCGAGTAAGCCACTGGGCCAGCTGGTTACGTGCTGGCCTGGAGTTTTACGACTCACTCTCCATGAGTTCAATCCCCATCCATGGTATGGTTTGTTCGCAATCATGTCATTATAATTTCCTGAGTCAATATGCATGTATATGCTACCAAACTTATTCTTCAAGTGTCCTGTTGGATTATTTTTTTAAACAAATCAATTTTAGAATTTACCACTTGCTTTAAAGGAGGGGCGAGCCTTTTTTCAGTGATCAGGTCATTAAAATTGAAAAATTATGGAAAAAATGTTTCCTTAATGAAAAATAGTGCAAAATTCTGGCAACATTTTGATGTAATCAGCTTGTTTCTATCATATTTATAAGTATGTTTTTCATTAAATGTATTTTTTTTGTTCTGCTGTCAGCAAAAATACATGTTGGCAATTAGCATTTTTTTTTCCTCCCAAAATTATGATTTTTATGATTATTTCATCGTAAATACTCTACATGGCAACTTGTGTGCTGGCTAGTGTGTGGAGAGCAGACAGTAAGTACCTCCGTAGCTGGCAGGCTGTAGAGAAGGTAGGAGGGGTGTAGCACGCCAAAAGTTGGCACGCCACTTCCCTAGAGTTTCACACACACAAAAATAAAAAAACTCAGTAATAAGTTGACATTGTAATCCATCTCCTGCAATAAGTATTCACTGGATTGTTATGATTTTTGCAGACGTTATTGAGGAATGATGGTTCTACAAACATGCAGAGAGGATTTGCCATATTGTAAACAACTTTTTGTTAATGATATTTTCCTCCTCTAAAAAAAAAATAACTTCAACATTTTCTTTTATTCAATTCAAGTTTATTCTCTATAATGGTTACAATGTAGGGTTTACATGTTTTGGGTATTTTGTGGTTTACATGTTATAAAATACTAATTACAGAGGGGGCCACTAGGACACCTAACATGGCTGGGCATTTCGAGCAGACTTAGATTAATTCTTAACATTTAAGTCTTTACAGATTACAGTATTAAGGCTAAATGACTACATCATAATTTTGAGTTTAGCAATGTGAATGCTTTTGTTTTGGCACAATACAAGGTGTCTATATTTGAGTAACATAGGCAAACTTATGACAAGTTAGGATTTATTATTTTAAGCTGCTTAATCCACTGTCACAATCCCAATGAAATCTGATAAAAAAAAAAAGTTGGTGATTCTGCTCGCTCCTCCCTTAAAAGACACTGTTATTGCATTTTACTTAATATATTAATAAAATTCTATGTAGTAAGTTGGTAGACAGCAACTGCCCAGGGAGGTACTACTGTCCTGCTAATGAATGTACAGCGGAAGCCTGTACATAATTGTTTTACATGATGGTAGGATTGCTGGTGTCTTTTTTCTGTCTCATAAACATGCAAGATTTCAGGTACGTCTTGCTACTTCTACTTACACTTAGGTCACACTACACATACATGTACAAGCATATATATACATACCCCTCTGGGTTTTCTTCTATTTTCTTTCTAGTTCTTGTTCTTGTTTATTTCCTCTTATCTCCGTGGGGAAGTGGAACAGAATTCTTCCTCTGTAAACCATGCGTGTTGTAAGAGGCGACTAAAATGCCGAGAGTAAGGGGCTAGTAACCTCTTCTCCTGTATATATTACTAAATGTAAAAGGAGTAACTTTCGTTTTTCCTTTTGGGCCACCCCGCCTCGGTGGGATACGGCCGGTGTGTTGAAAGATTAATAAAATTCTAGGTAGTAAGCTGGTAAACAGCAACTGCCCAGGGAGGTACTACTGTCCTGCCAAGTGAATGTACAACGGAAGCCTGTAATTGTTTCACATGATGGTAGGATTGCTGGTGTCTTTTTTCTGTCTCAAAAACCTGCAAGATTTCAGGTACGTCTGCTACTTCTACTTACACTTAGGTTACACAACACATGCATGTACAAGCATATATATACACACCCCTCTGAGTTTTCTTCTATTTTCTTACATGGTCTTGTTCTAGTTTATTTTCTCTTATCTCCATGGGGAAGTGGAACAGAATTCTTCCTCCGTAAGCCATGCATGTTGTAAGAGGCAACTAAAATGCTGGAGGCAAGGGGCTAGTAACCCTTTCTCTTGTATAAATTACTAAATTTAAAAAGAGAAACTTTGGTTTTTCTTTTTGGGCCGCCCTGCCTTGGTGGGCTACGGCCGGTTTGTTGAAAAAAAAAAATTATAATGAGAAACTTTTGCTTTTATTTTTGGGCCACCCTGCCTTGGTGGGCTACAGCCGGTTTGTTGAAAAAAACAAAATTTAAAAAGAGAAACTTTTGCTTTTCTTTTTGGGCCACCCTGCCTCAGTGGGATATGGCCAGTGCAGTGAAAGAAGAAAGAAGAAATACTTGTACATGATAGAGACAAAAGGTATAAAATACCTGCTTGATGGAGAAATTAAACACAAATGCAGTATAGTGTGATCTCTTACTGACTATGTTTTGCCCACACAGTAGGCTTTATCAAGTCACAAACAGATCTACAGTGGACCTCCGCCCAACGGCGGCATCAAGTAATGGCAAATTCGTCTAATGGCGCTCTTTGGCATAAAAAAAAATGGTTCTACCAATGGCAAAAAACTTTTCTAACGGCGTTCATCCAGAACGTGTCAATGCGGCGGGAGCACGGCCTGAGCGGGCCCAGTCACTCCAAGACTCAGTGTGTCATTGTTTACAAGCTGTTGCGGTTGATTCCACGTGTACCTGCCATATATTTTGGATTATTCAAGTGTTTTTAGTGCTTTGAACCACTAAATAAGCCATCATGGGCCCCAAGAAAGCTTCTAGTGCCAAACCTGTGCTAAAAAGGGTGAGAATTACGATGGAAATGAAGAAAGAGATAATTGAAAAATATGAAAGTGGAGAGCATATGTCCAAGTTGGAAAGGCTATACAACAAACCCCATTCAACCATCAGTACTATCATGGTGAACAGAAAGTAAATCAAGGAACCTGTTGTTGCGAAAGGTGCAAGTATGTTTTCAAAACGGAGACCGCAAATAACTGAAGAGGTAGAGAGACTATTATTGGTATGGATAAACGAAAAACAATTATCAGGAGACAGTGTTTCTCAGTCTATAATTTGTGAAAAGGCAAGGCAGTTGCATGATGATCTCATTAAGAAAATGCCTCAAAATAGTGATGATATTGATGAATTTAAGGCCAGCAAAGGCTGGCTTGAAAGATTTAAGAATCATAGTGGCATACACAGTGTGGTAAGGCATGGTTAGGCTGGCAGTTCAGACAAAAAAGAAGCTGAAAAATATGTGAAAACTTAAAACCTGAACAAGTGTTTGTTACGAAACAGGCATGTTTTGGAAGAAAATGCCAAACAGGACCTACATTACTCAGGAGGAAAAGGCACTCCCAGGACATTAGCCTATGAAAGACAGGCTGACATTAATGTTGTGTAGTAATGCTAGTGGTGACTGCAAAGTGAAGCCTTTATTGGTGTATCACTCTGAAACTCCCAGTATGTTCAGGAAAAATAATAGTGTCAAGGGTAATTTGTGTGTGCTGTGGAGATCAAACAGTAAGGGATGGGTCACTAGGAAAATTTTCTTGGACTGGTTTTATGGTGTGTTTGGCCCCACTGTGACAAAATACCTCCAGGAAAAGAAATTGTCACTCAAGTGCCTCCTGGTAATGGACAATGCTCCTGCTCATCCTCATGACTTGCAAAAGGAAATTGCAGGGGAGTTTGGTTTCGTTAAAGTGAAGTTTTTGCCTCCTAATTCAACTCCTCTCCTCCAGCCCATGGGCAGCAGGTCATTTCAAACTAGTGTTTCAAAAGTGCTTTGAAGTGACCTCAGACACTCAACTGACCCTAAGAGAATTTTGGAAAGATCACTTCAATATCCTCAGTTGCATAAACCTTATAGGTAAGGGTTGGAAGAGAGTGATTTGCAGGACTTTGAACTCTGCTTGGAGGAAACTGTGGCCACAATGTGTATAAGAGAGGAATTTTGAAGGGTTTTGAGGCTGACCTTAAGGAGCCTATGCCAGTAGTGGAAGCTATTGTGTCATTGGGGAAGTCCTTGGGGTTGGAGGTTTGTGGCGAGGATGTGGAGGAGTTGGTGCAGAACGACGAGGAAGAACCACTGGTGCTTCAGGTGCAACAGCAACAGATCACATCTCAGGAATGTTCTTCAGAGCAGGAGGAAGAGAGACAGAGGAAGATGACTTTGTCAAGGGTTAGGGAAATGTGTTCAATGTTTACAAAGGTGCAAGCATTTACAGATGAATTTTATCCTGTCACAGAAGTTGCAAGCTGCATTGGCAACATGTACAATGACACTCTTGTGTCCCATTTTAGGGAAATCCTAAGGGCACATGAGAAACAGAGCTCTCTGGACAAATTTTTGGTGTGACAGTGGTCCAGTGACTCTCAAGCTGGTCTTGGTGGCATTAAAAAACCAAGAAGGGAGGTAACCCCACCAAAGGACTTAGTACCTCAAGTCATTATGGAAGGGGATTCCCCTTCCAAACAATAAAACACCTGCATCATCTGTCCTCCTACTGTCTCATCACTCATCAACAACTCCACAATAAAGGTAAGTGGCATTTAATTATTGTTTATTTTACATGTCCCATTCATTTTTGTGTAGGGAAATGTATATTTCGTATAAAAAAAATTATTTTGTTTAATACTTTTGGGTGTCTGGAACAGATTAATTCTATTTCCATTATTTCTTAGGGGGAAAATTAATTCGACTAACGGCAAATTCAACTAACGGCTAGCTCTCTGGAACGGATTAATTCCGTTGGTTAAGGGTCCACTGTATCTGGGTACGTGAGTATATACAGTGTGGAGAGTCAGGTAGAAAATGTTTGCTAGGTTGTATTTGAGATGGACCTGCACAGGACGTGCAAGGGACATGCACAGGATGTCTCAAATACAGCCTACCCAACTTTCTCCACCTGACTCTCCACACAATATATACTCATATACTATTTAACCAGGTAGATCTGTTTGTGACCTGATAAAGCCCACTGTGTGGGCAAAACATAGTCAATAAATGATTGCATCATACTGCATTTGTGTTTAATTTTTCCACTTGTATATGGCACAATTTTGACTGACCTGATCATCATGTATTAAAGTTGGATGGTTTGCTTCTGGTGTTGGAGTGTCGGTATAGTCTGCATGGACAGCTGCCTCAGCATAGTAGTCGCACAGCTGAGACAATGCCTGGCTCCCGTATCCTTGCTGAATAATGTAAAGAGAATATTAAACAATTAAATAAACATAAGATGAAAAACTGTATGACTCATGAAATCGTAATGACACGATTGCAAACAAACCATACCACAGGCAGAGATAGAACCCGCGATCAGAGAGTCTCAAAACTCCAGACCGTCGCGTTAGCCACTGGACCAGCTAGCCACAATAAGATTCATGAATCGTATTGTGGCTAGCTGGTCCAGTGGCTAACACGACGATCTGGAGTTCTGAGACTCTCTGATTGTGGGTTCTATCCCCGCCCGTGGTATGGTTTATGAAAAACTGTAGTAGAACATTTCATACCAGTTGAACTCATTAGCAATAAATAAAAAGTCATATATGAAATAAATTACTAATCAGAGGACACCAGGTATGAGGAAATAGAGGGACAATGCTGTTACCTACTGGTACTGTTGTTACATACTGGTAATGCTGTGGGTGAGAATGTATGTGTAAGAGTTTTAGTTAGTGGACAGGAGCATGTGAGCTAACAAGTGAGATATACACAGATTTTTGCAAAGGTGTTTGACAACTGCAATCATAGAGTGATTGCACACAAAATGAGAACCATAGGCATTACAGGGAAGGTAGGCAGATGGCTTTTCGGGTTCCTAAGACATATGTAACACAAAACAATAATAGTTAACACAGCAAAATCCAGAATCAGTGAGGTTAAAAGCTCAGTTTCCCAAGGCACTTTCCTGGCACCTCTGCTGTTTCTTAACCTCATAGCAGACATAGATAAAAACACCCATCACAGTTTTGGATCATCATTTGCAGAAGATACTAAAATAAGCATGAAAATCACTTTGGTAGAAGATGTCGAAAAATTACGGGAAGATATGAGCAGTGTTTTCCAGTGGGCAGTGGAGAACAACACGATGGTCAATGGTGGTAAGTTCCAGCTCCTTAGGTATGGAAAGAATGAAGAACTCAAAAGGCACACTGTATACAAAACTCAAGAAGATCATCATATAGGATGAAAGGTACACGTGAAAGACTTGGGAATAATTATGTCAGCCGACCTTTCTTTCAAAGAACACAACAAGACCAAGGTCATGACAGCCAGAAGGATAAAGGGGTGGATAATGAGAACCTTCAAAACAAGGGAGATAATGCCAATGGTGACACTTTTCAAATAGCTAGCGCTCTCCCATTTGGAATATTACTCGATGTTGAGAGCCTGTGAAGGCTTACTCAGCCCTGTAACAACTTCAGTCAGTATTACTAAGGCTGGCTACTCCTCAGGAAAATTAATGCATAGAAAAAGAACAAAAACCGACAAACATAAACACTTTATTATTTAGGAAATATAAAACACTTAAATATGAAATACTGATCCTACATTAAAGAAAATGAAAAATGAAAAACAAATGATATCTGAATTCAACGCTAATATATATAAAACTTGGGTGTCTGGTGTTGGTGACACTGTGTGTTGTTGAAATCGTAGCCGTTGCTGATGATGTGGGGGGGGGGTCACAGCTGTTGGTGGCAACCCACCGGCTCGTTCTTCACAGAGTCTATAGCCATAAATAATCTATCCAGATGACAGGAAAGCAGGTTCTTTACCGCTGCAATGATGAGGGGTTACGTTCTGCAACTTCATACATGTGCACAGGCAAGTAGATAAAACATGGGATGTCTCAGGACGTTAGTCCGTCTCCTTCAATTCTACTCGTTGGTTGGCAGGTGACCCATTCTGTCATTCAAAGCTGGAAAGAGAGACAGGTTACCCACTGCTTAAGAAATCACTCTCCATGATAAGTACAATACCTAAAAGACGTGGTGATTATTAAGACATTTAACATAGAGCAAGACTGAAAGGACTAAGTTTATTATTGGTCAAAAGTGAAGCTTTCAACCAATAAGTCCACTAGAATATGAGCAGGCATGTACTTGCAGTAGTGCTGGGAGCTGTGAGTCGAGTGATTACTGTTTGGCCGGAGCCCCACACGTCACCTTTCGGGGGGGGAAAGAGGGAGGGGTAAGGGGTAGCGGGAGCTAGACTGACCCTACCTTAACAAGCAGCCGGCAATCAAACTATCACTTTCGGGGAGGGGGAAAAAGGGGGGGGGGAATAGCGAGAGCTGGACTTACCCTACCTTAACAAGTTGCTGGCAATGAAACTATTGTTGCTATATACTCCCTCGCTACTCCTATCTATTGAACTTTTCCCTCACACTCCCCCATACCAAGACTTATAGTCAAGGAGTATAAGAAGAATAGGTGAGGAAAGAGTTCTAACACATGGAAGTCGCGTAAGACAACAAATCTTCTACCGATTGTCACGATTTAACCAGTCAGAGAAATAATTGGATGAACCATTGATATACACTATATGGAACTTAAAAGCTTGGAGAGCCAATGTCCACCTCAAGAGGCGACTGTTGGTTCCCTTAAAAGTTTCTAGGTATATCAAAGGTTTGTGATCCGTTTCTAAAATGAATTCTTTTCCCAGTAAATAAAATTTAAGCTTGGAGATACCCCATACAAGGGCCAAACATTCCTTTTCTATGGTGGAGTATCTCGTTTCTGCAGGAGGGAAGTTTTAGATTTAATACATATACAGGATCTAGGAGTGTGTGTATTTTGTGCAGTAAGCACCTGACACCTATTGCAAGAACTATACTTCTTTGTAACCTAAGAATACATGCTTGGCCAAAAATAAGAGTGCTTGAGCTTATGCCATGTCTTACGATGGGCCAAGTGTTTGGTCACTGGCAAATCATGAGCCATTTGAAGAACAGTCTCTTGACATGGTTTAGGAACAACAAGGATGGAATAATCTATCACTGAAGAATGAGATTTAAATACAGATTTATATAGGATACCATTAATATATTCAAACTTATGAGATGCGTATCTCCCATGGATAACTTTGTTGTTAAAAGCTTGATTATGACAATCCCAAAGTGAAGGGCAATTGCGCTGTATATTGACAAAGTCATCCTTGGACATAAAATCTGGGAAAATAAAAGGACTTACGGTGGGAGAAGAGGAGGTAGGAGAAACCGGGGTTATGGTCTGAGCCCTAGTCAAGACATTGAGAGTGCCGGAGGCAATACCCTTACTTTCACCCGACGAGTGGACAGGTGATCCTGCTACCTCACTGTCGAGAGCAGTATCATCTGTTTCCACCCCCAAATGAACAGAACAAGACAATGCAGCTTCCGGTGCGGAATTGTTAAGGGGCTTATTTAACTTGCAAGGAGGAAGAGCTGGAAAACTTAGATCCACGGGTGGTGACGAAAGATCCGCCTCTGAAGGAAGAACGGCACCTTTAATGTTACCCACTATTATAGAACAAGTAATTGGGGCTAGTACCGCATTAGTCCAACCGGTGAACCATTTAGTTTTCAAGTAACAACGTATTGTAGGGAAAGTATTTTCACGACCCAAGCAATCTGAAAGAATAGAGAACACACGAGAGGTTTTAAAGTAAGGGAACAGTTTGACCGAAATTACGATGCACGTACATCCAGTGTCACGTAATATATCTGAGACTTTTATACCATTAACTGCTCCTGAACAGAAGGGTGCTTGGTCATTACCATCAACAAAACATCTTCCAACTTTCTCTATTTTCTTGGAAGGACAATCTGGACGTTTATGTCCGATACCACCACACCGATGACATGTTGGTATAATAGCTGGTGACTTTGCTTTTACTGTAGGCTTCTTAATCTTTGGTTCAGGTGAACCACTGCCCTTAAGGTTCGATCCCTTTAGGTCTTTATAGGAATTGTGAGCCTCAGCATACAAGTCAGCGGCCTCAGCAACTTCATCAGCTTTAATCAGGTTACGTTCTCTAATGAATGTTCTTATCTGGTAAGGAAAGGCTGTCAGGAACTGGTCAGCAACCATGAAGTCTCTAAGAGATTCATAACTGTGATCAATTCCTGAACTCTCTATCCAAAAGTCGAATAAACGAAAGAGTGCTACTTGTTACTGCTGAAAATTTAGGACATGCTGTAAGGTGGCATACCTGAAATCTTTCCTGTAAGAATTTGTGGTTTTTTTATATTCTTTAAGGATTGCCTTCTTCAGTAGGTTATAATTACATGTGATATCCTGCGACAAAGTTGCATAGATATTCAAAGCTGTACCAGAAAATAACATTCCAAACCTGGTAGCCCAGGTGTCAGCAGGCCATTCACAGAGGGTAGCGGTATTTTCAAACCTGATAATGTATGAAGTAATATGTTCACCCTCTGTGAAGGGAGGTAAATTAGGTGTTGTAATATGTGCACTAGCTGCATAATGTTCAATTACTCCTTCCTCTAATTGTTGTTGTGTAAGAGTTAACTTTTTATTCTCTAATTCAAGGCGAGCTTTTTCGAGCTCGTGATCTTTTTCTCTCTCTCTTAACTCAAGTTCTCTAGCTTTTTCCTCACGTTCTCTAGCTTTTTCCTCATGTTCTCTAGCTTTTTCCTCACGTTCTCTAGCTTTTTCCTCAACTCCTCTATCCTTTGCTCTTTCGTCAAGTTCTCTTAATTTAACTTGTTCCTCACGTACTCTAGCTCTCTCCTCACGATCAAGTCTATCACACTCCTATTTGTCTTCTCTCTCTCTCTCTAACTGTTTATCTTGGTTTTCTCTTTCAATTCTCTCTCTCTCCTTTTACTCCTGTCTTTCAAGGTTCTCTTTCTCCTTTTTCTCTTCTCTTTCGATTCTCTCTCTCCTTTTCCTCTTGTCTTTCCCTTTCTGTCTCTCTTCTCTCTCAATTCTCTCTCTTTCAATTCTATCCTGGATCTTAGCACTAATGAAAGATTCTAAATTTTTCCCTGTTATTCCTAACTTACTTCCAGCATTCATCCAAAACTGGTATTCCTCCATAATTGCAAGAATAACTTAAACTACCAGGGGAAAAATGAAATGGGTATCAAAGAAAACAGAGGGTTCAATTCCTGCTTCGCTCAAACTGTAAATAAACCAGAGGGCTCGATCCCTACTTCAATTAAACAATATGTATTAATGAAAAC